GAGTCACCAGGGGATCCATTCAGGATGGACCCATGACCCAATTTTGGACCACGACCCACCAGTTGGGAACCACTGGTCTTGAATATCATATTGGCCTTTAAAACCCCATATCTGTAAAACCAGCCTTAACGCCAGACAGAACATTGATGCTGGACGATTAAGCAAGATGGGATCATTTTCAGTGCCAACACTTTTGAAGTATTTCAGTTCTGTGTGGCAATTACAACATACCTATGGTTGGGGAAATTTAGTTGTCATGGGGATGAGGAATTTTTGAGGTATGAATAAAGGTTAGGCAATATTTGATGAAGGTTTAGGAAAGATTGTGGTTATGTGAGGGTTAGGGTTAGTGTTAAATAGTCTCCATCAACCATGCAGGTTGGAATAGGGAGCCAAGGCACAGTTGTCACTCAAGAGTCCAAACACCATGTGGACCCCGTTTAGCCAGGAGGAGCCCCAAACCACACAGTGGCAGGAAAGTATCTAAGAGAGATTTGAGAAGGAGAATACAGGAGATAGTGGGGTCTAAGGCAAACCTAGTTGGGGTTGGACGTCCAAGCTGGTTCACTTGGTGTTAGAGCAAACTGGTGGTAGAAGGATTCAAAGTCAGGGCCAGAAAGAGAGTCCAAGATCCAAAGATGCAAAGCTGTTTCAAGAGGACACTGATTAAAGGTCAATGTGTAAGATCTCGGGGGGATTTAGTGACATCTAGCAGTGACGACTGCAGATTGCAAACTTCTCCTGGTAAGACTTCCTCCAGTGTTCCAAAGGAGGTTTTTACTGGGAGCTGAATTATCTGTCTCTTTCTGTCCAAAACAAACAGACCAGGTCTCATTTATAAAACAATGTGTAGGATCCATACTAAAAATGTACATATGGACAAAAGCCAAAAATGGTGTATGCCAAAAAAGACTCAACAGTGTCTACAATCAGGCTTCCACCTTATCATCTGCATCTTCAGTGTCCAGTCTCCAAAATGCTCGTCAGCATGGGTCAAAGTTTCAGGTCTGTTTTCATAGATCACAACTTTTGCGTAGGGAGTGGCGTACGCCTCATTCAGGCCTCATTTAGTGTGTACGCAGTGTTTTAAAAATGAGACCACACATGATTAAAACCAGTGAAAACACTCAATAAAGCAATGTTGCGTTACAAAAATCAATTTTTTTCTCTGATAACTTAAGATCCACATGTTCAGGAAGTTTTAACCAGGAGCTGAATTATCTGCAGATGTCTCTTTCTTTCCAAACCAAACCAGCCAGGTGATTTAACCAGTAAAAAACACTGAATAAAGCAGTTTCAGGTTTGGTTTGTCCCTTCTGGGCCTCTGTAGGAACATGGCGATCTCTTTGGATGAGAACCTGCTTTCTATGTAGATCTAAATGGCTCATTCTAAGGTAACAGAAACACAACTATTCTTATTTTCAGGTGATTATACACTAAAGAAAACAAACGTATGTATTTCTTTTCTGCCAATATATCCCCCTTAATTCTACACACTTTACCTCGCAGGTTATAGCCACACTAATTTTTGTTTAAAACACCAAACTATTGCTACAGTTATGCCTTGCCTCCAGACGGCTACAGAGATTCCTAACCCCTAAAATAGTGACCTTTGAAAACTCTGCTTTTTTATAGACGGGTGAAAATGGAGACTTTCAAAAATGATGACACAGAAGCCACATTTGCTCCGATTGGGTCTTATAAGTCACAACTTGTCAAGTCAAAGCATTCCACCTAGGTCGACATACCTTTTCTGATTTTATCCTTCTTCCTCTGGCGATAGGAAACACTCCCGGCCTGTACTGCTCTAACCTGTCCCTGCTTTGTAATGGCTCCCAACCTTTTTGCCGCCGCCTCGACTGCCTTTTGCTCTTGTTATCTTAATTTATAAAAGCAATGTCAGGTCACATATAAAATATAGGATTGAAATCCTAATAGACCATTCACCTGTGTGAAGGTACTGGGTTGTGATTGTAGTCACATGTCACTGATTAGAAAAGAGCTGCTGCTGTTGGTGGAGCTTTAGTTGTGAAAGCATGAGTTTATATCCATATATTCATCAACACCACTCTATGATTCTCTACCAGAAGGTTTTGTAAAATAAATTCGATATTACACATGAAGGACAGTTTGGTCGTTGAGGCGAAACTGACTCTGGAGTGAGAGGCACCAGCACAACACTGATTTTGACGGATGGGTCTATCCATGTTATCTTTGTGTTGGTTCTCATACCGATGTGCTGCATTGTAAAATGTCTTGTATATACTGTGTTCTAAGTGCAATATCGTATATGGAGTGTATGTAGATTGTGTGCGACTTTTATTTTCTTACTTATTCATGGTTAAGGTGTCTTTTTAACTCCTGTTGAAGATCTTAGAGTATAAAGCACGTGTATATGTTGATTGGGTGGTAGGTTTGCTGCCACTCACCTGATTTAATTTGCATGTGTATAAGCGCAACCTCTGATGTTTTATAGCTCCATTGTGAAATGCCACACGGTAACATGCATTTTTCGTGTTTCCCCCCGGCTACCGATGGCTATACAGTATATCTGATGTGGTGACGTTGCACTGCTTGTGGACTTGCAGCTTGACTGAGGGAATATGAGGTAGTACAACAAATTATTTAAGTGCTTTAGATAAAAACGCAAAGGAATAAAGACAGTTTGATCACTTCATAAATGTTTTGTGTTTTGTTGCATTTATTTTGAAAAAAAAAAAGATCCAGCTGTAATGGTAAATTAAAAAGGTTTTCTGTGATCCATTCTGGGGGGAAGGACGGGTTTTGGTTTGGGGACCTCAGAATTGTATCTCCCCTTTCTGCAGATGATGTGGTTCTGTTGGCCTCATCACACTGTGACCTCCAGCATGCAGTGGGGCGGTATGAAGCTGAGTGTGAAGTCTGAGGCCATGGTTCTCTGCCGGAAAACAGTGGATTGCCCCCTCTGGGTTGGGAGACAGTTACTGCCCCAAGCGATGGAGTTCAGTTATCTCGAAGTCTTGTTCACAAGTGAGGGTAAAATGGAGCAAGATGGATCAGCGGTTTTGCTGGGGTGTCATGATGAAGAGGGAGCTGAGCTAGAAGGCAAAGCTTTCAATTTACCGGTCTATATATGTCCCAACCCTCACCTATGGTCATGAGCTCTGGGTAGCGTCCGAAAGAATAAGATCACAGATACAAGAGGCCAAAATGAGTTTCCTCCTCAGGGTGGCTGACATCCAAAGGGAGTTCTGAAGGAGCCCCTTTGCATCAAAATGGGCCATTTGAGGTGGTTGAGGCATCTAAACTGGATGCCTCCTGAGCGCCTCCAGTTAGAGGTGTTCAAAGTGCGTCCAACTGGTAGGAGGCCCCGGGCCAGACCCAGAACACACTGAAAGGATCATAAATCTCATCTGGCCCCCAGGAGGAGCTGCAAAGTGTTGCTGGAGAGAGGGTTGCCCGGGGTACTTTGCTTAGCCTGCCACCCTTGCGACCTGGCCTCAGATAAGCAGTTGAAAATGGATAGATGGATTGGTGGACATTAGATTTACGCCTACAACTTTTCTTAATTGTATGCAACAACTTTCTGTGACATTTCAAAAAAACTCTCAAATATCGAGAAAACGATTTTACACTCTCATGAGGTGGTTTTTCAAATATACGTCACCAGACATTCAAGTCCTCTGTGAATTCCTTGTTCATGATCCTCTCCCAGAAATCCTTTATCCATGGTCGCTGCCACACATAAGGACTTTGCCTTTGGAATACCACTCGCTCTCTTCGTCTTGGGTTGTAGACTACTGCAACCGCAGCAGTGGCAACCGAGATGATTGCTCCAGGTTGCAAGAGATTTGGAATGTCCATCTTACTTCCGCAAACAAAGTGGAGCCTCATGGGACGAGAATTACAGCTCATATGCAGAACATCTTTTAATGGAAACACTTGCAAGTCGCAATTGTACTTTGTCGAAACTTTAGAAATAGCGCATTTATTTTGCACAAAACTGTAATGGAAACGTGACTACAGACAGTCATGCCGGCTGTCAGAGTTTATTTGCTGCATGATGGAGAATATTGTTGAACTGTGTTGGAAGTGGAAAATGCAGATGTATTAATGTCCGGCTTCACTTGGACAATACAAAGGCATGGCATGAGAATGAGCAAGATCCAGGACATGCAAGATGTGGACTGTGTAGTAAAACATTTGACATTTGACACATGGGAGAGGCACCACTAGCTAGCCATGCTAAAGGAGCTAACCACTTTACCCTGGTGACCAATGTGACACCTGCTGTCAGCTGCAGTGATGCATGCACCATCAAACAAGGGACCATTTTAGGTGCTGTGTCCAGAAACAAAGCCCCAACTGCAGAGGTACTGTGACACTGAAGGTGCATAATTTTCACTCACATTATTCCCTTTAGTTGTACGAAGACACAAGCCAGCTTTTTCAGGTCATGGTTTCCCCAACAGCCAGATGACTCCCAGATTCAGATGCAGTAAACACAAGTACTCAACTATTATATGTTCTTTTTGACTGGCTGCTTATTTTAAGAAACTACCGGTACATTTTTTATTAATGGATCTTTAATCTTTTCATGTAATGTTGCACACATACTTTCCACAGAATACAGTGGTGATGACAATTTGTTTCAGTCATGGGACCTTTCCAAAACCAGACCCTACCCACTCCATCACAGAGTTTATTGCAGCTGAGGGGATAGGTGTAGGGAATAAACGCAGCCATTGCTGTTTTATAACGCAGTTACACTCCTCGCTGCTTGGTTTAGGACGGCACTGAATGTGGTGGACCCTGGAAACAGAGTGAAAGTGGGTAGGGAGAGGGTGTAGGGGCGATTTGGGAAAGGCCCATGGAAATGTATTGGCAAAAATGTGTATAAACCCTGTTTGTATGATTTCATATGGCAAATAACTAAATGATTGGTGCTGGATTGATTGATGGAAGATGCATGGACATGTCTAAAAATCATGGGAGGACAAACAGACACTGGACTATTTACATTTCACAAAACATATATCTTTATTGAACTGTAACAGACATGATCGCTAGGAACAGTTCTCTACTTGTATTAAGAGCTTTAAGAGTGACGAAGGGTTGTATGGGAAGAGTTTCTTCGTCTGCAGCCTCGTCACCACCTCTCTGAGCGCTGACATACAGAGGACTGCTCTGGCTAATGTTTTACAGGCCACCTGTGGACCTGGACGTGATGCTTCCTCAGTCTGTAACACCGACAGTGGCGGTCCTCTTGGTCTTCTTTCTGGTGTGGAGTTAGGTTCACTTAGTGATCCTGGTGAGTTCAATGACTCATATTGTTCCAGCTTGATGGGTACTGGTTGTCCACTAATCTCTTGTTTCACATGCAAAGCACTAATGTTCTCACACACAGCTGCTCCTGGTTGATCCTGACAAACCTCCATGTCCTCTGGCTCAGACTCGTCAGAACTGTCGTACTCTACAAGGTGAATCCCAGCAGCCGGACTCATCGTTCCCACTGGTGAAGTAACACCTGTGGGCTGGTCACAGGAGCTGTGTTCAACTCGATCTGGCTGACCTTTACATGTCACCTTTAACACATCACCACGACATGAGGCAGTCAGTGACAGCTGAGGCCAGCTGATTCGTCCACATGCTGCAGTGAAGCCCGGCCAGTCAGCTCTCAGGTACTTGAGGTACCGCACAAAGTACTCCAGGAAGCAGGTTTCAGTGGAGATGAGGAAGTCGAGGAGGATGCTGTGGTCGAAGGAGATGCTCTGGAGCAGCAGCAGGAAGTGGCAGTGAGGGTTGCAGCCAGACGCACAGGCTGCCTCCAACACAGCAGAGTCCTCCAACCCTGAACACCATCTGCAGGAGGAAACAAGCAGCTCAGTCAGCTCACTCTGAAAACATGATACCACCACTGCCCTGGACTGCATCTGATTTCACTGATTGGTTTTTCTTCTCTGGTTGAAGGCGTGTTTGCTCCATCTACCATTCACATTTAAGTCTACAAGATGGACAAATCTGAGCATGCACTTCCTGTTTTGGTGTGATCTCAAGCGAAAGTTGCTCAGCTTTGATCAAGCGTGTTTGGAAGTAGGACTGAGGTGATTTCTGGTTTTGCCGCTCTGGTCCAGTGTGTGAGCTCAAACCAGTTTGATTAAATGCAGACCGGCTAAACCAGCTTTTGTAATTATGACACACCCTGGCAGATTAAAAAGTAACCTTCACCAAAAACCTGTGCTGACGGCATCACAGTATTGATCCAACTCATATTGCATTAGTATAAAGCAATACAACAATGTGATTAATATAGCATTATGTTTGCTTATATACAGACTGATGAAGCCACTAGTGACTGACAGGCTGTGAGTCAAGCACGGCAACACGAAGGATCACATTTTAGCAGAGGTGGGAGAGGAAGAGCAGCACATGTTGTGTTTGTTGACTGTAAAGTGCGTGTGTTTTTTGGGGTGACGAGACGAGACACGGTTGAGTCAAGGAAACTAAAACTGCACCAATATGACGACATTTTGGATCTGAAGCTGATGAAGGAGTTGTTCTAACGCACCATGACAAGTTGCGCCGTTTGGAGCTGAATTTTTGTCGGACACCTTGTCTGTGCTTATGCCTATCTCTCACTTTGAAAGCACCGCAGAAGATGAAGGGCCGCTGATTTATGGAGTTAAAATTAGGAATTATCTAAACGAAGCCACCTCATTTCACTACAGAGACCAAAGTAGGGTGTCAGCTGGCTGCAGAGAGATCGCCAGGAGGCTGGAAATTTCTCATGAGCTAAATGAGCATGGCTAATAACAAGCTAGCCTACTTGCTGTTGGCTGTATTCTGTCATTTCCAGTAAATATCACAATATAAAACATGTTTTCTGTTTAAAATGTACACACGTAGGAAGATAGCAAGTACTCGTCCATCTTTTAAGTGGTTACATCTCCAGTCTGATCTCGAGTGCACAGCTGACAGCTACCTGGTTTGTTTACATGCAGAAACAGAAGTGCAAATTCAGTTGATTCTGTGTAACGGAGAGCTCCGATGTTACATGACGCAACAGGGTTGTCGGTCACTTTGTGCAAGAGCTTTTGCTTGGGTTGTTTGGGGATTTTGGCTTATGCCATTGAGACGGAATATAACCCCTGCCCTCATATATCAGCATATTTGTTTATCATCAAAGAGACTTTTGGTTATTACTAAAAAAAAACTTTGTGCATCACAGCCCTTTTCTCTGGTCATGAAGTATTTGCATCGTTCTCCTACGGCACAGGCAGCCCAGCTTCCTCAACAGACCATCTTTCCAGCAGTGAAACACTTATTTAACTTTGTCTAAATGTCATGTTGATGAAAATAAATCACACATGCGTCTGTACATCTGCTGTACCTGTGATGTAAGAATATGGACAGCAAAGCTTTGGCTGCCTCCATCATGTCATCGTCCTGTTCTCCAAACAGCAGGCTGATCCAGCAGCAGCAGTGAGTGACCTCCGTCAGCTGGACACCGCACTGCTGCAGGAAGCCCCACAGATTCTGCAGATACCCAGAAACCTCTGCAGCACTGTCCGCTCCTGCTGTGAGAGGACACAGGACGGTATCAGCATAAAGCCTCACCTTGTATTGCAGAGGAGCTGATAGTTCCCCTCAGCTCGACTAATAGTTTTGGCATCTTTCAAGTTTCTGTTTTGGGTTTACAGCCTGCAGCATGTGAGCAAAAAAATCTACTAATGCCACTCAATTAGACATCTTGATACTTTGCGTTATTTAAAGATCACTTCATCATGGATTCTCACCTGCTCCTCCAGCTGTTTGGATGTGAAGCTCAATGGACTTGAGAAGGAGCAGGCTGACGGCCCTCAGCATCACACAGTCTGGTTTTTGACCCTCCTCGACTCTGACGCATCTCGCCCCCCCAAAGAAAGAGGCTGACTCCACCTGAACACTCTGCAGCCAGTTAGTAGCCACAGCTGTGAGCACACTGTGAGCCAGCAGACTCATATCAGAGCTGAAGTGCTTGTGTTTTATTCCAGTGGACAGCACGTCACCTGAAGCCCAGTCCTCTCCAGCCTTCTGAAGCACCGCTCTCTTCAGAAGCAGCAGCGCTCGCTTTTTGACAAAATACTCTGAGCAGCAGCTGATTGTTGTCAGCAGTGCTGAGGAGTGGATGTGAGTTATTCTCTGACTCTTCAGACACACACCGGCTCCACATATCAAACTGGACGCAGTCAGCACCTCCAGCAGGTCCAGCAGGAGGCAGAATGTTGTTCCCCAGCTTTCCACCGAACACTGCATCGCCTCTTTTCTCTCCTCAGGCAGGAACTTTGAACACAAAGCACCGAGGCTGGAGTCAAACGCTGACAGAAGTTTCCCAAGGGTGTCTGATGGAAGAAAATACACACATTCAATATGACAGATGAGACACAACAACACATCAAAGATATGTTGGAAGATAAATCTGTTCAGACACAACGGATGTTGATCAGCGACTTACAAGAAACTGCAGAGATGAACAAAGACATCAGAAGTTTTTAAGCAACATTTTAAAAATGAGCGTTTTTCAGACTCTGTTCAGCTCGTTACGGAGGAGCTGCTAACTATGGTGGCTGCTGCGAAAACTGGATACAGCAGCAGAGGTGTGACCGCTGTTCATTCCTATGAAAGTTGCTCAATGGCGCTTAAAACCAAAAAGGCTCTATTTCTGCGGTACAAAAACACCTGAACACCATGGAGGCCAGAGAGCAAATGCACTGGAGACTAACACAAGCTGAGCCAGCTCCTTTTGTTTTAGCACCCCACTTAACTGAATGGGGATAAAATGATTAATCACAAGGCTCTTCTAGACCAGTGGTTCCCAACTGGTGGGTCCTGGTCCAAAAGTGAGTCCCAGGTCTGTTCTGAATGGACCACAACTGATTCACGAATGTGTCAAATTTGTAAAAAATACACTTTATTTTGAAGAACAGTGAATTTCCAGCACAGAGCTTTTACTTTGAAGTGCTATTCCCTGCTGTAGAGCGAGTGACTAACTGACAACAACAACATGACAGAGACAGCAAATTAGCTCGATGATATGGCCAAACACAAATATGATGCTGAATGTATTGGCTGTAACTCAGGTTTAAGCTTCTGCTCACAGTGTGAACAGACTAACTAACCAGTTTTACCTTGATGAGCTCCTTTGAGAAGTCTTTTCAGGACTTCAGTCAGCGACCACAGACAGGCGTCCAGCTCAGGACCGAGGGCTGAGTTGTAGAACGTCTGCACACACTTCTGCTGCCACACAGGACTGACGGTGCCCTGAGAAATGAAACTGTACATCATACATCCTGATTCTGATGTGGCATTTACTTCATACATTTTTTCATGCCGTTGGAGCACCATTACAGTCATTCTCCTGGCAGCAAGGACGCAGAGACACTGAGAGCACAGATGTGGAAGAACCTCAAACACTGACTAATCAGAGCAGACTGGGCTTTTTTGGGAGGGGGATCAAAGCACGATTTATATTTGTGCATCAGCGCTATGCAAAGTCTACGCTATAGTCTATGCATGTGGCCTACACTGTTGTGAGCATTTATACTTGTGCGTGGTGTGTCACTCTGCAGTTACACCTCCAAAACACTAGTTGGCATCAGGGTTTCTGTGCAGTGCTGTAAAGTCTTACTGATTCAAAACACACAGTAAACATGGCTTAATAGAGACAATTTCAAACACAAGTGCCCAAATCAGCTTCACTATAACTCGCAGCATTCACAGACAAACACTTGTCTTTATCTGGACACATTTTCCCCACAAATACGACATGCTAATGTTATTAGCACAAACCTATGGCACTTTACATTGTATAAATTAGCTTTGCGGCTAGCGGACTTTTCCTCTTCTCATATGAAGCCAGGGACAACAGCAACATTTAACAAAGGTAACGTTGCAAAATTCGGCTCCATTACAACTCACAACATTCACCGACAAAACAACTGTCTTATACTAAACATGTTTTCCAAACAAATACAACATGCTAACATTATTAGTGCCAGCCTATGATTTTAGCCTAGTGATGAACCAGGATAAATCACACAGAAGATTTAAAAAGCTATTTTAGTGGAGGCTTTATTGTCTTCACAATTTATTGTTTCTTATTTGTGAAATAAAAGTAAATAAAAGTTTTGTTTCCACTGAGGGAAATGGTTTCAGCTTACAGAAACAGACAGGAGGTCTGCGTCGCCGCCACGTGTTGTTACATTTCTGGGGAGGTGCATGTCAGGCTATGGCGTAGGCTCTACATGGAAGCAGAGTCTACGCCATAGGTACGCCGTCAATTCGATGCAGAAGTATAAATCCCACATTAAAGTGACAGTCACTAAAACTGAGTGTTTCAGACACATAGTGACTACAGGTATATTCAGGGAGATAATATGAGGAAAATTGTCTTTTTTTAAACATTAAAGTGTGTACTCATGCTCAAGTAGAAACACAACTTACAAGTATGAACCTGAAAACGAGCAGAATATCTTTAACACAAAACAGATGCATGATGCATGACAGACAGACAGAAAAGTTTTCTAAGCAAACACTTCAGTGTTCTTTAAAGTTCAGCCTGAGAACTCACAGATTTGAGGAGCTGATAGAAAACACATGTTGATGCAGTCTTTGCAGCGAGATGTGAGATGATCTGGTCCTCAGCGTGGAACAGCTGGACCTGTGGGGTAGTGAGATCTCACTGTATAAAACACTTGTGTTAAAATGTATCTGTGTTTCATAGTCAGCCTGAGGAGAGTGGAGCACTTACAAGTTGGGACATGAGATCCAGGTCCTGAAACACCGTCAGGATCTCCCCGCAGTAGGAGGTCAGTGCAGGAGGCAGGACCCGGGACGTCAGGTCAGAGGTGATCCTCTCCACCAGACTCACACTGATGCAGGTCAGATCACAGCTCTCTGCAGGACCACTCTCTCTGTCCTCACCGGGGACCGGTCCACACACCACGGAGAATATCACACGGGCCACCTCGGCAGCACTTTGTGTGGGACATGTCCCCGTCTGAAAACATGTGGACACATGTGTGAGGCAGTCAAAGCGCTGACTGACGGAGGAACTGTCTCTGCAGCCTGCTGTGTGCTCCATGATGCTGCTGCCTCTTCCTGCCATGTGATGCACACGGAAGCAGAGCGACAACAAATGGATCGACAACACAGAAGCTGAGTCAAGTCACCGAGTGTTAACAAAGTAAGACCGGATGTATAGCACATGAGCCTTCAAAATAAAAGCAACTTTCAGCGCGCTTCTCTCTGGTGGATTATGTATAAGTGAAAAACATAGCATTTTGGTAGTAAACATGGACTGAACCTTCACGTTGTGCAGTAGACATTTTACATCACTGACATGGTGCTGGGTGTCGGATGACCTACCGACTATTTTCTAACTCACAATGAAAATAAATTGATTTACGCTGGAATATTTTTTGTACTTTTACGATAAACATGTCAGAGTGCATAGAAAAATAGTAGAGTTTGTTTTAAAAATATTAATAATATTTCTGCAAATTATTTCCAGAAATTTACAATATGTAGCTGTATTTTTTTTTAGATAAATTACATTATTATCACAACTGTATTTAACTGTATTCAGAACTTTATTGTGAAATTCACAAAGGTAAATATCGTAATTTCACAGAAGTACACTGTTAAATCACAGTAACATATAGAGTTTAACTGTGAGATTACAATCAAATACAGTAATTCTGTTTAATCACAGTAATCCAATGTTAATTTACTGTGAGGTTACAGTTAAATACAGAAATTTTACAGGAACATGCTGTTATATCACAGTAATGTAATGGGCTTTAACTGTAAGGTTACAGTTGAATATAATTCAGTCAGGAACACTTTAGTCAAAGAAAACTTTATTTCCATTTTCAGTATTACATTTCGTGGTATGGCTCTGTTCTGGGGCCTCTACCTTTCCTCGGGCCTATGCAGAAAGCCTAAGGCACAGAGAGCACATCTCTCCGCCCTTCCACATGCAGACAAGGAAAGCCTGAGGCAGAGAGAGCAAATCTAACTGCCCTTCCATGCGCCTACATGAATATTTAATATTATCTTGATTTTAGTTTTGGCCTTCTTTATTTTATCTTTTACTTTACTTTCCAAGTGTGGGATTAATAAAGTTTATCTTATCTTATCTTATCTTATCTGACATTTTAGTTTGTTTCATTCTCAGCAACGTCTTTCATGCTTAAGGAAATTGTCTTATTTTCGCATTGATAAGTCCCTTATGATCCTATTTTACAGATCTTATATTAAGTCTGTCTTGACCTTGTCTTCTCTCTGCTGGTTTGGGAATCTCAGCATCAGGTCCAAAAATGAACTGAGTAGCATTGTGAAAACGAGTAGCAAGATCTTGGGGCTTCAGCAGAATACTTTATCTGTCCTGTTTCATAAACAGATAGGAAGGAAGGCTACAGCCATCCTTTCCTACAGCTCCCAGCCCTTATTCTCTTAGTTTTAGTTTATGCCTTCTGGCTCTCGGCTTAGATTTCCACCTGTTAAGAATAACAGATAGTATGATCATGATGGTGATGTTGTATTTGGTTCCCCTTTCCTCCACCTGATTGTTGAGTATTTATATTCTTATGTGTTCTCTCCTGTCCCTTTTATGTATGTTCTTACTTGCTGTGCAACTGATTGCCCTCTAGGGACAAAATAAAGTTAAAGTTGATTTTTTTGGCAGGTTTCTTGCTAATATTGCATAAGAGATTAGTTTTCCTGTTTTTTGAATTATACTGTTTGCAGTTGGTTTGGAGTTGAGAGAATGATGCTTTTATTCTGAAAGATCGGAAGCGGAAATCACAATGTTTTTGCTGCCGGGGCCAAACTGATGTGCTCACAGAGAGACTTTGTTGTTAAAACGGATTGTACAACAGCGAAATGATGCTCAGCATTGCTGAGACTGACGTTTAGTGAAGTTTTAACGCACAGTTTTGCAGATACGTGATGGATTTGAGCTGAAAGCGACATAAATATGCATCTTTGATAACTCCAATTCCTCCTGACTGGAAGCTGATTGGCTAAGTTATCCCTCGGCTCCGCGTCTGTCAAGTATGTGAAGTGTTTTTAGTATCAAAGCTGTTGTGTTTGTCACTACATATGTAGAATTAACTTTAATATCGGTGCACACAGTGTGCCGGGGGTTTATCTGTAACCACCGTCACAAGTAACGGTAGAAAAGTCAACAGAAGCTAGCGAGCTAGCGCTAGTGAGTTTGTTAGCTTGCTGGCTAGCCTTCGTTAGCTAACATAAATACAGCCTTAAATCAGGTGTTTGTCGAAGTATGTCGCAGGTATTATATTTTCTGCAATGTGTGAAACGAACTGTTTTCATCTGCCTGATTGGTTTCATCGGTTTTCATTAGTTACCGTCATTGTTTACTTGTACGTGGTTTGTATTGTTGGTCATGTTAGCAGGTAAAGCCTTTCTATTGTCCATTGTTTTTCATCAAACGGTGAAGCTAACTAACAAGTATGTGTTCACCCGGAGGTGCTGCACAGTCTCACGCCTTGGTACCATGTTTAGTCATTTGTTTTAATTATAAGGCGTTAGCTCATTTTAAACCTAAGCTATTTTTGTTAGCTAGTTGTGCATTTGAGACATGAATTTCATTTGACACTCCTGTCATTCAGCGTTGCTATTGTTGTTGCTAGCGGTGGTAGTTTATCCATAACAAATCCATAATATTTGATTGGGTTTATCAATAAAGATTATTAAACGGTCATGTCACCCATTTTTGAGAATTGGGACAAATCATGTCCCACTAAAAAACATCAAAACCTATCAACATCGTTTCGTTTCTGTGGTGAAATGTTATTTCTCAATGATTTTTATGTATGAAAAATGTGATTTTTTTTTTTTTTAAATATTTTGATCTGCTTTAGTTTTTTAAACTAATTAACTCGCCTGAAAACACACTTTCCTAAATAAGAATTCAACTCAACTTTATTTACATAGCACCTTTCATACAAACATGCAGCCTAAAGTGCTTCATGTGGCAAAACTGGAATGACACAGACACAATTTAAAGGATAACACAAAAAAATAAAGTTTAGCAAGACTACAAAATTACAACAATAAGTCAACAAAATATTAAAAAAGCAAACCAAACAAATGAGAACAAACTTACCAACAAAGACAATTAAAAGTCCATAGAAAAAAAAATAGAAAATAAATAAATAAAATAAACTAGAGGGATAAAATCAGGTAAAAACCAATGGTTAAAACTTAAAAATGAGTACTGCAATGTTACTTCACATTAACAAACCAGATTAAAAAGATACACAGAGTCCTTTCTAATATCCAGAGGCAGTGACGTCCACAGTTAAGAAGCATAAAAACAGAAAGTGCTTTCTCCAGGACTTTTATGGGACACATAAATGGACATTTATGGGTCGACTGGAACTTAAAATGATAGAAAATCTCTGATCTGTGGAGGTGAAGGTTATTTAAAGCTTTATAAACAAGTAAAAGAACTTTAAAATCAGTTCTGAAAGATACAGGTAGCCAGTGTAGTGACTTAATTCACAACTTCAAACAATTAAAAATGTGTTAAAAGCTTTAAAAATGTAAAACTAACAGTAGGTACTGATAACATCGATGTAAAGGTGTACTGCTATATTCATCTTTGTTTTAAGATATGTTTTTTGTGAAAATGTTGGCCCTTTCAACCTTTGAACCCTGGAACAACATCACTTTCCTTGTGCTGCTTTCAGACGCCTTTTGCAAGTATTAGATGTGTCTCAGTTTTTTGTCACCTCCAGATTTCTTTTACTGATAAACTATGTTTAAGCAGTAAAAAATGGTTAGCTTAAATCTAAGAACTCCGGTCTCACTGTCTGGTTTCCAGAAAAGCAGGAATGCCGCTCAAGTAGTGATAAGCTTTACATTTTTTTGATAAATTTGGAAAATAATATTGCTATCGGTGTGCTAAATCAGGTGTGTCTTAACTACAACATGTCAATTCTGTAGCTCTTCAAAATCAAAAATGAATAAGAATTATGGTTTAAAAATGTGTGTTTTGATGAGCATTGAGAGAACCTTGAAAAATAAAATGGCTCCTCACTACAACTGCAGTGAATTTAATAAATATAGAACTTTTTTTGTCAATTTGGAAAGATGCTAGATCAGTCAGGTCTTAACCTCTGACATCCACTATCAATGCTATTCAAGAAAAAAAATCACTGGGAGGTTAGCCCTTTACAATGTTAATAGCCATGACTTCATTCTTTTAAAATATATTCCATCAACCTTGAATTGAAGAGTAAAAATCAGAACCCCCTAAAAGTAAGACTTTGTCCCACTTCTCAAGAATAAGTGATTTATTTCAGTGTTTCCAGCTTCCTACACTTTTTTCCTGACTTTCTAAAAACGACTATGTTTTGCACGTGTCTGTTGCAGGAACACCAGCTGAAGACAGAGTGTCGTCCTCTCTCAGCCTTCTGACAGTGCAGCTGTATATTTACAGGTGCAGCTCCGATATGACGAAGAGAAGCCCGTCTCTTCAGCTTGTCAAAAGGTACACAGTCCTCTTATTTAAGAGTGGTCAATTAAAGAAGTTCAAATACTTCAATAAAAAACAGTAATTTCACCCAGCGAAACAAGTAGTTGAGCTTCTCAGGTCTGTTGCTCGGTCAGTAGCTTAAAGTCGGAGTTAAACCTGTGTGGTCTGGAACAACATCATGTGGTCCTTAGCTGTGTCCTCAGAACCCATGATTTAATATGCATCTATGATTCTGGGCCTGGGTGTACTCTAAAATGTAGCCCAGACAGCTTCTACGTGAAGGTGTCCCATTTGCCTCATTTCAATTCTGACTGAGGAAAGAGTTACAAACTGAAGAGGTCAATGCCTAACCACCCTGTTTGAACTATCTCAGCAGCACGAGACTAATATCTGCAGACATGAAGTCAGTTTGTCAGTAATGTCGGCAGGTGCCACTTAAAGTCACACAGGGAACAAATCTAATGTAGCGTAAGTCCAATTTCTGCTAAAGCTGAGAGCAAATGCTCTATGATATGGTTCATGTTTTTACAATTAGAGGCTGACACATTTTTTGTGATAGTTGAGGTGTAACCAGACAGAATTATAACACAAAGTGCATATTGTTCCATATCTCCAAATCTTTCAGCAGTTGTTAATACTGTACACCAGAAAATCAGAAAACTGAAATCTGCTTGTGCTGAATGTTTTCTAAATCACAGCCGAGCTTATTGATTGCAAAGCAACAGAGCAAACAAATCCCTTTTGTAATAAATACAGAGTTCTCACTGTCATGAAATTACTGGAAAAGTTAGGAAATTAAAACTATTTTCCAGGCCTGGAAATGATTTGGAATTTACAGAATGTTTTGAATAGACAGTGTTTCAGCTATTGTTTTAAATCATGTCCAACATTGTGCAAAATACATTCCTTCATTACTAATTTAAAATCTATTGCTGCATTGTGTGATTGTTGAAACATCACTGGTATCTCAAGATACACACACTGCTGTGTACAGCTAGTTGGCGGCAGGAATGTGTGACGTGCAAGTAAAGTTAGCAAGCGTGAGCAGTTTGCTTATCCACCAAAACCCACTAACATTTTGGTGCGGAGTGGAATAGAGGTCAAATTTAGTTGTGGGAAAATAAAGTGTACGTACCTGTCCATATTTGGAAATGCTCCCTACTAAAAATTGTTTGTTGTCAAAGAGGTGTCGAGGCAGGGTATTTTTTCAACTACTTAAAGTCACGGGAATGGTGTAAAATGTAATGTAAAAGTTTTGAAAATTGGTTGGTAAAAATGTGTGGGAACCATTAACTCGTTTTGTTTTTTCATCGTCTAATTTACGGTGTGTCATTTTATGTTTTTTCTATTATTACCAACGTAAATAAATAATTTGCCACCTTCACACACTCTAATTTTCATTTGCATATTCAGTGAAATACTCACATTGTAGGTCCAGGTTGTGGTAAAAGAGATCTGCATCAGTTGTTTAAGGTGGACAAAACAGAGTAGAGTATATAAGTGTGTAAAGATGCCATCTAATATTATGTCTGTGATACGGCTTGAATAATTAGTTGATTAGTTAGTTGAAAGAAAATTAAACACCAACTATTTTGACAGCTGATTAAATGTTTCAGTCATTTTTAAAGCTAAAATTTGCTTTTTAAATGTGAGAATTTGCTGCTTTATTTTGTCATTTACAAAAGTAAATGATGAGTGTTTGGGTTTCGGACTGTTGGTGGGACAAAAGAAGCAATTTGAAGACATCACTTTGGGCTCTGGGAAATTGGGCTGAGAATTTTTCAAATCAACAGATAAATTGTGAAAATAATCAGCAGACTAATCAAAAATCTACAAGGTGTGCATTAGACCATGTTAAATTCCAGTTGAAATAAAACTGACATACACGTGAAACACATTCATAATTTTGGATGGTAGAACATTTTCGTAGCGTAGCAGTCAGGTCGATCAATGATCTGCAGCTGAATCAGAAATGTACCCACCCAGTTCCCCAAAGACATACAGAATGTGTTCATGGGTTTTTCCGAACAGAGGTTAGGTACAGATGAACATTCCCATTCCGAAATGTGACAGGATGCTGAACCATCACTGCAGAAGGAACCCTGAGCTTCATGAGGAGCTGCAGATCCAGGCTGCAGTGGCAGCGGGCGATGTCTGCACTGTCAGGAGAATGCTGGAGCAGGGATACTCACCTAAGATCCGCGACGCGAACGGCTGGACACTTCTCCACTTCTCTGCTGCCAAAGGAAAAGAGAGATGTGTTCGAGTGTTTCTAGAGCATGGAGGTCAGACGCTTTGTCTTTTTCTTTTTGTCCTGCTGTTCTAGTTGGCTTCATTTGGTGGTTAACAACGTGCTATGATAGATCTGAACACTAGAGGTCGTTATTTTACTGGAAGAGAGGACCTTTCACTCACCTCTGTGTTAGTTGAAAGCCACTGAAGTTTAAGAGTATAAAACATGATGTCACATGTATTAGGTCATTTATCTGGTACAGGGAGGGGCCCATTACGTTTACATACATGCCTTACATCTACAGAAAATGTGATGGAGAATAATCTGTTTTATAAATCTGTATATGTTCGTGTAAAAAAGTTGCACAAAACATTAAAATACAACTATGGCCTTTACATTTGGGGTTTATTTCCTTAACCAACAGACTCAGTGTGCAAAGGCCTTAATAGCAATATATCAGAGCTTTCAGAAGAAGTTTCCTTTAGCTATGAATATCCATATTTGTGCACACACCTTAAAGTAAACTGTGGGTCCCTTTTTATATTAGTGAATGGATTCCCTCTATTTCATCTCACTTTGTGAGCTCAGAGAAATCTTAAAACCTTCAGAAAATACTTCACCTGCAAAATGACCATTTGTTTATCAGTTAGTCACAGTGTGAAAATGCATGTGTTCGGGAACAACCGAGCATACGATTGGATATATGAGATATAGATTATACTGTATGAGTTGTGTGAGAGTTTATAAACAGGTGTTTTGATGTAGTTTTGCTGTTGTTAAATGAAGTCTCCATTTACTTTAAACCTTTGAACCCTGAGCAACTTGGTGCGATTTCTTTCAGAAACTTGGTGAGAAAAAGAAATGTCCCACAAACTGCTAAAAAAAAAAAGATGTAGAAAGTTGTTTTACAAAAAAAAAAAACTTGGGGAAAAAAGAAAGAGCTATGGAAAACTATATTTATAATTAATGTTATTACATTTTTAAATTATTATTATTATTAAATTATTAATTTTTCTTTGTTTTTTTTCCCTGATTTCTTGTTTTTAATTTTCTCTTTTTATTAATCTCTTGATTATTTTTCAGGTCATTTCTTCTTTTGTTGCTCATTACCTTCTTCTGATGTTTTTTAAAGAAATAAAGCCAATTTGCTCAGGTTTCAAAGGGTTAACTCATGAACAATGCTAATGCCTTTTTTGGATTCACCGTTGAACTTGGAAGCACTGGAGAAAAAAACAGTTTTCTCAGGAATATAACACAACACACACAGTGAGTCCTTAATATACATAATGTCGTTTTTGGGGTGATGTATTCCTTTAAAGTAAACCTTAAAGCTGAGTCAGTTTAGTTTTGGCTAGTTAGAGGCAAAAACTGTAATATCAAGCCTGACACATTACCACATAATAAAGTTGTTGTGGTTATAAAGACGTCACTTCTCTGGAATACTGTCCAGCTGCCAGTGATGAACTGTTTCTCCTCCACAAAATGATATGAAATGTCCTGGAAATGACTGTTGGTACCACTGTATAAACACTGATCTGTCTCTTGCTCGAAAGTCATGTAATCCATTTAAAATTGATCTAAACAGTTAAAGCAGGTTTAAAGGTTTCACACTCAGGGAACCAGTTGCCTGGTCATAATGTCTAGTTGTGTCTAAACTCCAGTGCACTGCATTTGTCAAGTGTAAAAGCTGACCTTTAGTGTAGTAGCTAGAGAGGACTGTACATTAAAACAATTCAGGTGAACGTGTGAAGATGTTTTTTGTGACAGATTAAAGTTTAGATGGACCGTAGAGTCCCCGCTGATCACCATTCATGTCACCCACAGCACAAAGCACATCTCCTGCTGTATTAACTTTCCTCTCCTTTCCACTCTTTCCACTCTCCTCTGTCCAGCCGATCCCACAGTGAAGGACTTTATTGGTGGCTTCACAGCTCTTCACTACGCTGCTATGCATGGCAGAGCCCGCATCGCCCGGCTGATGCTGGAATCGGAGTATCGCAGTGACATTATAAATGCAAAAAGCAACGATGGCTGGACGCCACTGCACGTGGCCGCCCACTACGGCCGAGACTCGTTTGTACGTCTCCTCCTCGAATTCAGGGCCGAGGTGGACCCGCTGAGTGACAAAGGGACCACACCACTACAGCTGGCCATCATTCGGGAGCGTTCCAGCTGCGTACGGATCCTCCTGGACCACAGTGCCAACATTGACATTCAAAATGGCTTCCTGTTGCGGTATGCCGTCATAAAAGGCAATCACTCGTACTGCCGCATGTTCCTGCAGAGGGGGGCGGACACTAATCTTGGACGTCTTGAGGACGGTCAGACGCCCCTGCACCTGTCTGCCCTCAGGGATGATGTGTTGTGCGCCCAGATGCTCTATGCGTACGGAGCTGATACCAACACCAGGAACTACGAGGGCCAGACGCCGGTAGCTGTGTCTGTTAGCATGTCTGGAATCAGCCGGCCCTGCCTGGACTTCCTACAGGAGGTCACAAGTGAGTCTCACACAGTCACATCACTCATCACACAAGCATGTCGTACAACCTGACATATCATCACTGTTCCCACCAGGTTAAATCAATTCAGCAACTAGTTATCATTCTTAACTAGTTGCTGATAAAAACTACTTTAAATGACAGAAACCGTCTTGGAAAAAAGTATTTAATGTGTACTTTGATTTTTGGTTTATAATAATAATAATAATGATAATACATTTTATTTATACAGCGCTTTTACAGCTCTCAAAGACGCTTTACATTTAAAACCAAAGAAAAGAAGTACATACATGTAAGTGCAAAGAGATAAACAGAAGACAAGGACAATATAAAACAACAAGGTGCAAAAGCATAGTGCAAAAACAAAGAAAAGGAGGGCACATGAGGAACCGAGAATGAAAAGCTAATGTTAAAGGTTAAAAACGGATTTGAAAAGGTGGGTTTTGAAGAGTGATTTGAAGGTGGATGGATTTGGACAGTCACGGATGTGTATAGGGAGGGTGTTCCAGAGGGAGGGGGCGGCTATGGAGAAGGCTCTGTCACCCCAGGTTCGGAGCTTGGTCCTGTGTGGAGGAGAGAGGAGGTTTTTGTCGGATGATCGAGTGTGGTGGTGGAGCATGTCCGTGAGGTAGGAGGGGGCCTGGCTGTGGAGGACTTTGTGGGTGAGGAGGAGGATCTTGAAACTGATTCTGTACGGGACAGGGATCCAGTGTAGGTTTTGCAGGGGGGGGTTATATGTTCACGGGAGCTGGTGTGGGTGAGGAGGCGGGCAGCAGAGTTTTGGATGTACTGAAGTTTGTTGAGGACTTTGGATGATGAGCCGTAGAGGATGCTGTTGCAGTAGTCCAGTCTTGAGGTGATGAAAGCATGGATGAGAGTTTCAGTGGCAGAGAACGAGAGTAATGGACGGAGACGAGCAATATTTCTAAGGTGAAAGAAGGCAGTTTGGGCGAGGCGGCTGATGTGATGTTCAAATGAGAGGTTATTGTCAAAGATGATACCAAGGTTGCGGATGAATGGGGAGGGAGAGAGGGTGGTGTTGTCAATGCTGAGGGTGAAGTTTTGTGTTGCTGTAGAGAAGGATTTTGGGCCGATGAATATTATTTCAGATTTGTCACAGTTGAGTTTGAGGAAGTTGGCCTGCAGCCATGATTGGAGTTCAGTCAGACAGTTGGTGAGGGTAGAGCGGGTGGCCGGGGTGATGGATTTTGTGGATATGTAGATTTGGATGTCATCAGCGTAGCAGTGGAAATGGAGACCATGACGACGGATGATGGAACCAAGGGGGAGTAGGTAGATGATGAAAAGGAGAGGACCAAGCACCGAGCCCTGAGGGACACCTTGAAGCAGGGGGACGGTGGCAGAGGTGCAGTTGTTGACATGGATGAACTGATGTCTGTCGGTGAGGTATGATTTGAGCCAGGAGAGAGCAGAGCCAGTGATGTTGAGGGAAGTTTGTAGGCGGGACAGCAGAGTGGTGTGGTTGATGGTGTCAAAGGCAGCAGTGAGGTCGAGGAGGATGAGTATGTTGAGGTGGCCAGAGTCGGCAGAGAGGAGGAGGTCGTTAGTGATTTTGAGGAGGGAGATTTCGGTACTGTGTTGAGGGCAGAATCCGGATTGAAATGGTTCATATAGTTCATGAGAGCGGAGGTGGGTTTTGATTTGGGAGGTGACAACACGTTCCAGAATTTTTGACAGAAAGGGAAGTTTCGAGATGGGGCGGAAATTTGAGATGACGTCAGGGTCCAGGCCGGGTTTTTTGAGGATGGGGGGTGACAGCGGCCAGTTTCAGGGATTTAGGGATAGAGCCAGAGGTGAGGGAGGAGTTAATGATTGTATTGATGAGTGGGGAGATAGTTGTGAGGCAGTCTTTGATTATGGAGGATGGTATGGGGTCCAGGACGGAAGTGGAGCTTTTCATCTTGGAGATGATGGGGAGGAGATCCAGGGGGGAGACAGGGGTGAAGTGTGACAGCGGTGTAGATGGTTTCGATCTTTGATTGAAAAAATGCCAGGAAGGAGTTGCATTTGTCAGTTGTCATGCCAGAGAGGGTGTTGTCACAGGGTTTGAGGAGTTCATTGACGGTGGAAAAGAGAGTCTTGGGGTTATTGGAGCCAGAGTGAATGAGTTGTGAGTAGTAGTTGGACCAGGTGGCAGTGAGGGCGTCTTTGTAGTTTGAAAGGTGGTCTGTATAGGCATGGAGATGGCCTGTGAGGCTGGTTTTCTTGTAAAGTCTTTCAAGCTGGCGCTTACGGGTTTTCATGTGACGGAGTTCACATGACCAGTACATGACCTGTACTGCAGCCAGCCACCAGGTGGCGGTCGAGATGTTTCGGCTTCACTTTTGGGCAGCTGTCATGGCGTCAATCTTTATGTTCAGTCTATGGCTGGTATTAATGTTTTTGTCCCACAAACTGCCTGGTCCCCAGATAGCTAGCTGTTAGCAGATGACATGTACACTCATGCATTGTTGTGGTGTGAAGTTGTTTGGATGAATGGTTTTCGAGAAGCTCAATCTGACCGTTCAGGGCAGGCATGTTTTAAACCGGCACCGCACTAGTGAAAAGAAATCTGTGAGTATGGATGGGGTGTCGAAAAGTATCCCAAGTTTAGGACAAAAAGTGATGGAGCCTTTTATTGTAAGATGAGAGGAGGAAAAAGTCGAGAAATGTAAAGAGTGAAAGAGGGCTGCTTGCCAGCACAAGGTTCTAATGACTACTGTTCAGTCAGAGAACAATCCCAGGGTGGAGGAACAGGAGAGCACATTACCTGAAGCATTATGATTTACAGGGAACAATGGCTGCATTCCTCCGCTGCCCCCTGCACTTTATATCAAAGATATCAAAGAGCTGTGCACTGATTCAGACAAGCCCTTTCAGAGACTCCAAACCCTCAGCCAGATCACATATCTGCTGGGTTATTGATTACACCTCTGCCTCCTGGATTAACTCATATGCCATGAAAGGCTTGTCCCACAGTATGACAGGCGCACAGCTCCTTTTAACCGCTGCACATGTCAAAGACTGCACCATGCACAACTGCGCTCATACAGAGATTACAACTTCAAGCAAAATCTCAGACATACTCCACCCAGAGAAAGTGTCACATAGATATTTGTGTCATCTTTGCCATTAAACTCCAGCTTTGTGATCTGCAGACTCCATGAATCATTAAAAAGGCACAATGCTGCCTCCTGTAGAGCGTGCAGTGATGACTCTGGCAGCCTGTCTGCCTGAGGCTACAATGATTGTATTAGCTGCATAATTCCTATTCTCTGGCTGTGGGGAACTGGGGGTGTTTTAACATACTGGTATTGACGATAATGGTGATATTTAAATGTGAAATATCATGTTAATAATTAGGGATGCGCCGAATATTCAGTAACCAAATATATTCGGCCGAATATTGCAAGAAAACACACATTCGGTATTTGGTGGAATAAGTTAAAAGCAAGGCCGAATAATAGTGGCGTGTTTTGATAACGCAATCAAACAGTGTGCCGTGACGGGCGGAGTAAAATGTTGGCAGTGTGGCGATCCGTCCGTCACCGCACTCGCATTTGCGACTAAAAATAGTTTTGTGCTAGCAAAATAAATCATTCAGCACTCTGTGCGAGCAGCCTACAGATTTCAACCAGCAGCAGAAACGAAAGGCGAATCCCACCGATTGTGGGTTGAACGGGGGTCACAGACACAGACAGTAATATATTCCTGTCAAATACGGCGGCCATCGGCTTACTGGCGACGGACAAGTCGGCTCCAATAATATCCTCTTCTTGGCGTCATGACTGCCCAAAAGTACCTGAACAGCCGAGCCAGCCGAACACAGGTATGTGACGTGTCAGAGGAGAAATGAGCCGTTCACGGCCCACAAACCTCACCGCGCTTTAGGGACTGTTCATTACTTATGAAGGGACTGTTCTTTACTTATGAAGGGACTGTTCTTTACTTGTCAGGGGAGGAGGGTGGCTGGTTGATTCTTATTTTATTTATTTATTTTATTTTGATCCCCCCTATGTTAATCACTTATTGATGCTGTTTTTGAAGTATGAATAAGTCAATAAGTAATTTATTCCATTGAAATATCATTGATGTATTTTAGATAAGTGATTTATTTTTTTATAAATGACAAAAGGCACATCTGCCTCATTTTCACTGTGGTATCGTGATACTACTCAGAACCATGATATTTTCATTGGTATCGTACAGAGGGTCCCAATATTGGTACCCTGACAACACTTATCTGGAGGGGGTTCATCTGCAAAAACTAATGAAAAACTTAATAATACACATATGATAATATTGTGTAAATTATCCAGTGCCTCTGAAATCATTTACGTTTTTTTTTTTTTACGTTCATGCTGTCTCTCCCCACCCTTCCTCTAAGCCTGACAAAATCTACTTACCGTACAGTTTATGGACTTGACATTGATCATTTTGCTGACCTCAGTATTGTCCGTTGTGTTTACTTGAGAACATCACCAATATTTTATCACAGTGGTTCCCAAGTGGTCCATGTACGGGGTCCAGATTTCTCTTTAGTCATTATTTTAAGTCCACACAGTTTAATATATTCAACAACTTGCGTTTGGCCATCAAGCTAGTTTACTGTCTCTGCTAAGTAGCTGTCTGTTAGTCACTCACTCTACAGGAGGAGACATAGCCCTTCAAAATAAAAGCACTGTGCTGCAAATTCACTGTACTTCAAAATAAAGTGTGTTTTTTGTACAAACTTGACACTTTCTTGAGCCACATGCTGTCCATTCAGAATGGACCTGCGACCCACTTTTGGACCGTGACCCACCAGTTGGGAACCACTGTTTTAGCCAGTGTGATGCCTGAATAAACAACATAAACCATCATAACCCTTGGGCGCAGCGATTCTTCCTTTTTTTTCCCTTTTACCCCAGCCAACTTTTGCAGTTCACAGAAAAATAAAAGGACACTTCAAATACAACACAGTGGAGTTTACTGGTAGCCTGCAGCTGCACTTTTGGAGTGAAAGACAGTCGTGATAGTCGTTAGCTTGCTGACCCCTGGTAACAAGCCAAAATGTCAGTCGTTTGTATTTTTACCCTCCAACAACTTCATCCTCCACTCCGTAAATCCACCAGTAAACAGCCTGGATTATGGAGGTAACTGCAGTGTCCCCAAAGCTTTGCTAAACTTGTCTATTAGTCGCAAGAGGCATCACTTAGTTTTGGTTTTGTCTGCCAAAATTTGTATTAAGTCTCAAGCTGAGTAATTTTGGGCTTCTCCTCTAGAGGTACTACAGTTTGATATATACTTTCTCACATTAACAGGTGTTAGATACTTCTTTAAAAATAGGTTTAATATTTGTTCATATTTCAATTCCAGTGTTTGAATATTCTTCTTGAAAGTTCATTGTTCCTTGAAAGGGTGTATTTGTGTTATTATCAGGGTGTTGGGTCCTTAACAAGTCTTAAAATGTCTTAAATTCAATTTTAAAACAATGAGCCCTTAAAAGTCATTAAATAGTCTTAAATTTGAATTTGTGAGGTCTTAACTGCTACAAGAATTTTAACTTATTTCATTTATACATCTTTTAATTTATTTTGTGAAAAGGAGTCAAGCCTTTCTTTGTAAAAGTCCACATTTCTAACGTTACAAATCTTTTAAAAACTGTACCTGTTGGCAAAATGTAGATCAACTTAACTCACTCTAATAACCATATTCATACATAACACTCATCTCTGCACATATATACCACTTACCTGCGATGCTTAAATAAGTTAAAACATGATTTGTCTAAAAAAAAAAAAAAACCTGTCCTAAATTTGGTGAAAAGGTGTCTTGATAGGGTCTTAAAATGACAACAACATCGTTTATCACAATTATTTCTGGGAAAATGTATCACCCAACAAAAGTACTTATCGTGACAAGTTAAATTTCATCTTAATATTTTTTTCCTGCGCTGTTCAGCTGTGTTGGTGTTTCACATCAGGACCGACAGCACTGCTACCACCTCCTGAAAGTACCTGGAACTTTAATTTAATGTCACCTTCTGCCCACATTTATGGAAACACAAACAAAACCTGTCATGTGACAATATTTAGATGTTGTGTTATGTTTTCCGAGCTTCCTGCAGTGAAAAAGGCATCATTGTAGCCATCGTGGTTTTTGGGTTTTGTGGCCAAATAGGTCATGAATTCATAGAACAATAAACAGTAATAAACATTGAACACATTTATCAAAGTATTCTCTATATTTTCAGACAGTTTGATGTTTATATCGATGGATCACTTTAATCAGATCATAAAAGTGTATATTTTCCCAGATGTGCTGCTATTGAGGATGTTATGTTATGTTTTATCCACCTATCACAGCGTATTGGTGTTTGTCGTGGTGGAGGGAGGGAAATGTCCATAGCGGAGGAGTCACTGTACCCACATCAGACTGATAACACCCCCCCACACACACATCACTTCCTGGAATCAGGGGGATTTTCCCAACTCTTTGCATCCAGCTGATAACAGAGTGGATACTGGGTGATTTGGGATGCTGATTAATGCCTGTGGAAGGCTTTGGGAAAACCATACGGCTGAGAGAGGAACATTTGAGCTTGATGGTGGATATACAGCATTAAGATGTTGAGACACCCCTCGGTAACAGTGTCTTTTTTTTGTTAGTACCACTAGAACATGCCAAAGTCAGACTTTTTTATGATGGGGCTTTAATGCTTTTAATTTTCCATATACTGAAACTCATCTTTTTAAACCATCTGTGTTTGAAATGCTGGGCTGTTAGTTTTCATCATGCAAAAAAACCCATTGACCAAATTTTTTCCATCATGTGAATAATTATTTGTTGAGGAAGTTAGGACTGAGAGAGGGGAGGTGATCACACATCTCTCTGTGTTTAACTTTGAAGACAAACCTTTTAGAAACATGAATTTGTTCCAGTAACTTCGGTGTAGACGCAGCTGCGAGTTGTACCACTGATAGCAATTTTGATATTCAAGGGTTTGAAAATGTGATAAGGATTTGTCTGCTGATGTTCATATTTTCAACAGAAAACCGTTTTTGATATTAAAGAGTTGTGATAAAGATATGTACCGAGAAGGGTATTCTGCTCGCCTAATATTTTCTCTAATATCATCAGTTAGCTAATCTGACATTAGCTAAGGGCGTAACGTGTCTCAGTTTTAAATTTTTGAGACACTTAAAGCTATAGTGCGTAACTTCTACAGGTCCATAAATGTCCGTTTCACCCAAGCCACTACTAGAGGAGATGACACAATGCTGATTAAGCCGATCAGCTCCTCTAACATCTCGCAGTATTTTTCAATATATATCATTTTTAGTATGCGTGTCGACCGGCGACATTCCCGCGCTGGTGCACAGGAAATGCTTCCTCACAACAAGAAGGGAGGGGGAGGAAGAGCGGAGAGTGTCATAGCAAGAGGTAGAGCGCAGGTAGAAAGAGAAAGCAGCATGGCGGAGAAGCGGCCGAGACACGGTTCAGAAGTGGATCCTACCACAAATGCAAGTGTTACTCTGTGTACGGTGTGTGGCGACTGGCAAGTGTTACTCTGTGTACACATTGTGTGGCGAGTGTTACTCTGTGTACATGGAAGTGCCGCCGGCTTATTAGTTGTAATAACGCATTATCCGCTGGGAGGTGACAGAAGTTACGCACTATAGCTTTAAATTTCTCTGGTGAAAATCAGATCAAGTCATTGTTTTTTAAGTCTCAAATCACTGCACTCAACCGAGTAATCATATATTAAATTACATTTGTTGGAAGCTCTTGTGTCTTCGTCAGAGACTGAAAAAATAATGGACATAGTTACCGTGACATCACCAATTGGTTTGTGGACTCCAGTTTTGAAGCCTCGAGTCCGGTATATTGGTCATTGCTGTCTTTTTGTTTTGGAGTCAGAAGTGACTATATTTGAACGAGAAGTTGGAGCTGTGGAGGAGCGAGGGGGGGATCTGACTCACAGACTGTAGCAACACCTCACAGACAGACTGATGCATAAAGCGGCCTGCCCTTAATTATGCATACCTTAAGTAGGGATAGACCGATATGGATTTTTTAGGGCCGATGCCGATACCGATTTTTTTCCATCACCCTTAGCTGATGACCGATTATGGACTGCCGATTTTCTTGAGCCGATATTTGGGGCTGATGCTGCTTTTTCTCCCTCAATTTACATCAAAAAAATGACACAATGATAACAAATATTACAGGTCTCAAGTTTAAAATAAGAAACATTTATTGAACAGTAAAAAATACTAAAATAAGATGGAAAGTTGAGGTAGAACAGGTAGAATATTATTATTATTATTATTATACAGTCAAATAAAAAAAAAGAGTTCAGTGCTCTTAAATCTTCCAGTAATGTCTTTATAAAATAAACAAATATTTAAGCTGAAGCATAAATAAAACAACAACTACTGTACACAGTAGGATTCGCTGCATGTGCGCTGCAGGGTCTTCCGGCAACACAGAGCTGCCCGTGGATGCCTGTCTGTAAATCATGCCAGGGAACCCACGCGCGTATCAGCCGATGCCGATACAAGTAAAAAACTCAAATATCGGCCCGATATATCGGCCGGCCGATGTATCCTTAACCTTAAGTCTGAATAAAATGTAAACAGTGAGTTGTGTAAAAATTCACCTCTGTATCGCTGTCATGAATGTTGTAATTAGCTACAGAGATTAAAAATAGTTTTATATCAAGCTATAAACATTTCACTTTCTGCTGTAAAGTTGGCCTTTTTAAATATGAGTGTCTATGACTGACCTGCCTCTGGAGCCAGCCTCAAGTGGCCATTAGAGGAACTGCAGTTTTTGGCACTTTTGTGTTGTAATTTTTGACCCGCGTGTTTTGCACACTGCAATTACGTTTTTTAAAAAGTAATGATTAAGGTGTAAAATGACCCCAACACTGACACATTTACACACTTATCTTCTTGTTATTAACCAGCCATCATAAATCCCAGTACCCACTTATCTGCAATAAGCTAAAATCAGAGGATAAATTTCCCCCTCGATGTCTCAGTCAGGTATACTGATTAGCTCAGGAGTAATTCCAATGTGTTCTAACTGTCTCTGTTCTTCTTTCAGGACAACCTCGGACTCTACAAGACTTGTGTCGAATAAAAATCCGTAACTGCATTGGCCTTCAAAGCTTGAAATTGTTGGAGGATCTACCGATCGCAAAGGTCATGAAAGACTATTTAAAACATAAGTTTGACAACGTGTGAAGGCAACAACAGCAACAACAGAAGAGGAGACGGTGACTAAAAAACTCTTATCATTTATAAAGACTATGCAATCACTGTGCTCCTCGTCTGGAAGAAATGTCCACAGCTCTGTTGTGTACACCCGTAAGGATAGCTAGTCCAGTTTGGTCGTCCAGTTCAAGAGTCCTCCGCTCCTCTTCCCCATTTCAGCCTTTTTTTTTTAACGGTTACAGCAGCAGCTGAAGAGTGGAAATAAATCCATCTCATGTGAGCAACGGTTGTGGGAAAAAGAAAACCTCATTTGACAGATAGCATTGTTACCATTTATGTTCTCACTGAACAAATATGCATGTCCCAGACCCCCCCCCTTTTTTTTAAACTCAACTAAAACAAAGTAAATTGATGCGATAATGATGATCCTTTCTGACTTAAAATCAGCAAAGTGTTGAGCTACCTGGTCAATGATGGCTTTAAAGAAACCCACTCCAAAAGATACTCTCTGATTTTGTTTTCGCACCCAATTAGTGAGTGTTGTTACCCAAATAACCTGGTTCCAAACCTCTAAGTCACCATCCACATCTCCAAATTGTTCAATGATTACAAATCAGATAGCACTTGTGTTGTGCCATTGACAACTAGAGAAACAAATAGAGAAACAGTTGACCAATCAGAGCTAGTTAGCTATGTAGGAAGAGAGAAGCAGTGTCACTTTGTGCAGTGTGAGATGTGGACAGTTGGTCCGCAGAGACTGCAGTCACCACAACATGTAAAATAATACTCTAATATCATGAAAACAAGCTCACTACAATTAAGAGCAACCAAAGAAAAATGTCCGACCTGCCAAAGATTCATCTTATCGTCCAACATTGAGATAGTTGATTGTTCAGACAGTTAATCATGCGTCTGGCCTAAATTGAGCCCCAATGTTCAAGGGATGGTTTGGATTTTTTCTGAGTGGGGTTCTCATCCATAGTCAGTGTATTACATCCAGTAGATGTCAGTAAGCACGCCCCCAGTTTGGAGAAGCAGGCTGGAGTTCAACACAGAAGCTAAGTAATGTGCTGCTGTGGCAGGGGACAGCAGCAAAATGGATTTTAGCCTCCTAAAAAAGACACTATTAATTTAAGTGTACGCTGTATTGACAGTATTTTCTCTGCTTTACCTTTCTGTCAGACAGCCCGTTCTGATGGGGAAGCCTTTAACAGTTTCAGTTTCCATCTGTGCTCTCATCAAAGCCAGACTCCTTTGACAAAGACAGTAATTTTGGCTTGCTGATCACAGGAGCTGCTGGTCCACAGCTGCCTCAATCAGTTAGTTAGTTTGTGTTATTGTGTGACTTGTAGATCCGAACAAACCCTTTTAAACACTGAAGTGACACAGTAACACAAACAAACTAAGTGATGCAGCGGTAGAGCAGCAGCTCCTGTGCTCAGTTAAATCACTGGTTCTCTCAGTGGAGTCTGGGTTTGATGAGAACAATAATGGCTCCATTTCCTCATCGGAAAGCACTGTCTGACACAAAGGTAAAGCAGTGAAAATGTTTTTTTCTGCTGCTCCCTTCCACAGCAGTACATTTCCTAGCTTCCATGTCCGACTTCAAGCTCTCAGAACTGGAGGCGTGCAGAGTAAAGGCACACTGAGCCCGAAACTTTCGTCCATCATAAAAAATTTTCAGAAGAGGTTTCTGTGTTTTTTGCATCTGTCAGAGCCTTTAGAGAAGTTTGACCAAAATTCAGTGAAGAAAACGTGGTGGCGGGTCACAGCTGTGAAAAGACAAAGGAACGTGGTGCACAGAATCACATCATAACTTAGATAGCTACTTTCAGCAGGTCAGATAGAAATATTCAGGTGGATGATTATGATGAGTGGAGGATGTGGACTGCACACAGAGTGTGGAGGACAGCTCTGCCCCCTCATGCAGCTGTGGTGCCAAATGAAAAACAGGGAGTGAGTGATGTCAGTCAGACAGGTAACTCCAGTGGAGAGAAGCAAAGGAGGAAAGGAAGGTGTTAGATAAAACACATCAGAATCAGTGTGCGAGGTTTCTGTGTGTAATCTTTTTTTTTTTTAGGATGATGGATTAAAAAAACGGACTCAGCGTGTAAAGGCCTCGACATCTACTGTATGTGACAGACTGACTGTGTAGACGTACCTCACACAGCCCCACTTCAAAAGACCCAAACTATCCCTTTAAATTCTAAAATCAGCTGGGGGGAATAGGTCGTTAGAAGTGGGAGGAATGAAATGAAGCGAAATTCAAGTTTGATTATCAGGCTACAAAATGTCTTCCTAGCTCACTGCTGATACTTAAGAATTGACCTGATTTTAAAACATCAACACTACACTGAGAGAACACTTTGAGTTTTAGGGCTGCCGCTGGGTGCTGTAACAAAATCAGGGAGTATATCTTTAAAAAAAATCATATACAGGATCAGATTTTCTCAAACATTGCTCACACGTTTGTTGTTCTTTTGATGTGCAAAAATAACTTGCACGGATAATTTTTATTTTATAAGGACACCAATAAGAATATGTCATGCATTTGAAATGATTTTGGAATTTAAGTTTGATTTAAGTAATTATTTGATACTACCAGAGTGATCTTTGGTGATCGACTATAAATCAATCAATTTCTACACTATATGTAGTACATTTCAGTTTGGAGTAAATGCACTGTGATGGAATTATGTTCTGAAAGCATCACATTTACTCTCTGAAGCAGCTGTTGATAATAATAAGGTCTGTTTTGGATAACACTGACACAATCGTTAGAAGCTACAGTCAATGTAAATATGTTATGTACAACAGATATTTTTGTAGAATTTATTTAAGCAATGATCTCTGGTATTCTCAATGTATTTAAAGTTTGGAAAGTATTGTGATCTGTTTGGTGTGACTCAAGTATTTTTACTTTTATGTGTGTCTGAGTTCTCTGTTGTACAAGAAATAATTTGGAATCAATATTTAATTTTTACGGCAGACATGTTGGGTGCTTTCTTACAATTCATCATCTCTTGCAGGTAACTCTGTCATGGAGATTATACTGTGAATTTTTAATTTTGACAGTTCAAAATAAAATGTAGGATTTGGGGTCTAAATAACGCCAACACCACAGGAAATATTTTTTCTCTTTGTCTCTGCATGTGTTTAAAATTTGTAGTGAAATTATGTGGCACCTGAAGTTGGTTTTCCTAAAATGTTGTATTCACGAGTTCATTCTAACATCTGCATTAACATGTCAGTGTCATTTTATATTTAAATTAGCAGGGTTGTCTGCAAGTTACTTTAAACAAGACTAACAGGCAGTGAATGGGTTACTATACAAACATGGGATTTGAATGTGAAGGTCAACGAAGATGACAACCTGTGTCCAGTTTCAGGGGCTGCATCCGTCAAAATCTGCCTTTCAAATCTGAATCCAGTGCAACAGATTGACAGGACCAGTTTAAGTTTTAAAGGCTTCCCCAAATCTTTTCCCTGAACATGAAGGACACTGTCAGTGTGTCCTCTGTGTTCCCACACACCCCATTAACACTAATTTATACTCCCTTTATGTACGAAAATAGATACGTCTGTTTCAAACATTCTAAACATCACTGCTCTGATAGTGCCATGCGTCATTTATGTTGGCATTGATACAGCCAATAGATGGTACTAGAGGGCCGAGTCAAAAGTTAAACACGACAACAAACAAGGCAACAGCTGTGATGTCAGGCAGGTGGTTCAGCAAAAGTGAAAGCTAGCCTGTAGCAAGACAATAGAAATCACTGAAATCACCAAAGATTTCTACACAGTTAGACAATTTAGCAGTCATCTGAAGTTTGGTGGAAACGTGATCCCAGGCCCAGCTTTGCTTGTGGTTGTCCTTTTAAGTTGCTAGCACCATATCTCTGGGTGTTCAGACACAAATATTATCAGCTCCTCCGTCGTTTCTTCTTTCTGCTCCTGCGACCCCCGCTGTCTAACCGGCCAAAGCCCAGTGGCAACCACCAGAAGTTCAACGTGGTGAACAATGTGCAGCAACCCCTTTGCAGCCCGACCGCCATGTTTGAAACGGCTTCCCTTCTACTTCCACTTCCACTTAATGACTAGATGCACCAACCATACAGCAGTGTGAGGGCCTGTATATATGACACGTCTTTAACCACCAGGAAAATGTCAGGTCAGGCGCTGGGCACTCTTCGGGGCTGCATTTTTTTTTTCGCCCTCATATTCTTTATTTTCAGTGTAGATGTTGATGCTCACAAGCCTGTTTTTCAAGGCCCAATGGCTGCACCCTAAGACAAACTGTTCAGCTTTTAGAATGCAGCATGTGCTCCACATGTCATGTGACAAAAACCAACCGGTCATAGCCGACAGATATCTTTGGCTTCTTTTGTAAATATCAGTCTGATAAATACGGAAAAGCTGCAGTGTTGTAGTGCTGCAGTCTAGCTGTTGCGCGCAGAGCTGATCTTCCAGACGTGTGTGTGTAGGCCTGTTGTCCGAGGACTAAAATGATCAACTTTTCCGTGTTCATCACAGACTGATATTTACTGAAGACGGTAAAGATATCTGTTGGCTGTGATTGGTTGTTCCTTGTCACATAACGTGGTGCATGCTGTTGAAGTTGAACTCAGTTTATCTCAGGGCACAGCCGCTGCGCCCTGACAAATAGACACTCAGAAACACGTGCACTACGGCAGTGTCACCCTGGCATTTGAGCACGCCTGCTGGGTGTCTGAATTGAAAAATTTGAGGGCGCAAAAAATGCGGCACGTGTGGCCCGTGAAAGAGAGCTTGCTGAACATAGTGAACCCACCAGCGGGGGTAGGATTGGTAGCACCCTCCCATAAATACAGTCATGTACCCTGGTGAAATTTCAGAAAGATGTGAAAAATTAGACACCGCTCAGGCCTACCATGCATGCTTGCATGAGACAAACAAATAGGGGACCAAATTCTGACATACCAACCAATCAGAATACAGCACGAAATGACACAGAAAACAGCGTCCAACGCATTGTAAGTGCCCATAAACATACATAACTACCACATTAGCGAGCGCTGTCTAATCTGTGTTCAGTGCTACTTTATACTGAATTGTTTTCTTTAAGTATCAACGCTAAGGCTGAAGGTTTTTTTTTTTTTTTTGCTGCATTTTGAAAAAATGATTTCGGTAGATTTCATATCTTTGCTTGCACATCTTACCTTTTTACATCTAGATTCAGCAAAGCTTCATTGTACAATCTGACAACCAAGATTTTATGTGCGATTGCTGTTTTCCCCTTTATGAGTGTAGGGTGTCTTCAGGTGCACAGGTGCAGCCCAGTAACTCTCAGTCTTCCCAATGACACACTTTAAGGCTGTATCCTCTAAAAAAGGCAGTTGCTGAAATGAAACTAATCCAGTGAGTGTTTGTTTAAATAGCCAATATGATTATGAGTTTTGTAATGTTTGTATATGGCCTGGGTTTTTAATTATTGGTCCTGAGGTAGTTTTATTAACGTCTTAAATCAAATTGATTTGACTGTAATTCTTCAGATGATCTTAAATAGCTAAAGTCTGGATGCAGCCCCGTCTCTTTCAGCTCACTACTCGTGTTGATAATGCCGTGGTCACACGTGAGAATAAAAACTGAAGGTTATATCATCATGTTAGGATGTCCTCCACCACATCTCAGTTCGGTTTTATGCGCCATGCTGTCCATCTTCCTGATTCTGGATTTGATACGATGCCATTTTGCAGCAGTAGTTTTGTATCGCGTGTGAATGAGTTTGTCATCCAGCGACTGCCTTCTCCTATCAGTTCCTCAGCAGACTTTGGTCGTCACAGTCAGGGAAACACTTCATACATGTCTTATGTGGCTATCAAATGGCTGTAAGTCTTCCACACCATTAACTACTGAATGTACAGAATATGCAGATTTTCAAACGTAAAAAAAAAACAAAATGTGTGAATAAACTGAAGTTAACGTTTCGAGGTTTGTCGGCTGTTTTGTTTCTTTTGTGTGTGTTGGATTTACTGTGAGAGCTTTAAGAGGAAGGAGATGACAGGCTGGTCCTTTTTGATAGCAGCTGTTCTTTTTAATTTGCGTACTTATTAGAGGTCAGAATCTGAGTTTTATACAAGATGCAATCACTGAATGCAACAGATCGTTCCTAGCACTATTAATAACACTGTACTCACCATCTTAATATCAGATCACCAAAAAGAAGTCAGACAGAAACACGAGCAGTCACATGGTTAAACATATTTGAAAAAAAAAAAGAAGGTAATTCATTTTTATTACTGAAACTACTAGTCATACAGATCCATCATAGTTTACAGACCTAGTTCCTGCAACTCAATCCCATGTTTACAAAACGTACAACGCTAACATTTTCTTCTGGGATGGACTGGGCTGCTTCCTGCCTGTGTCCCTCTAGTGGTTGTGGATTTGCACAAACAGTTTTCCTTCATTTAGTTTTAGTAGTATCACTGTGCTGGTACAGTAGAGATACAGCATGCATCTTTTTTGTGGTTTTGTGTCTTTTTGAGATAATTCTGTCTTTATTTTGGTTGTTTTGATGTTTGGTCATGGACTGTCTTTGTCAACATACGACGTCCAAGGTACCCTGGGTGTGTTGGTTGTGGACGTTCTGGGAAGCGTCAACTTCAGCCTGTTACATGCATTGTCTGTTTTCAAAATACACTTCTGTTTTCACAGGAACTGTACAGTTTGCATACAGTCTCTTTCAAAATAAAAGCACTACATCGGTACACTGCAAATTAGGGGTGTAACGGTACACAAAAATCACGGTTCGGTACGTACCTCGGTACACAAGTCACGGTTCAGTTTTTTTCGGTACAGTAGTGAAAAAAAATAGACAACTATTAAATATCTTTTACTTATTGGTAACCTTATTAAAACATAGCACCACAGCAGTTAACTCTTTTTACACAATTTTTGAATGAAACAAATATATATAAAATCCTGCTTTTTCACATTGTTTGAATGAAAATAGAAGTATAAATTTCTGCTTAAACAGTTTTACTCAGTTAAAATAAAAAGTATAGTGCAGCTGGTCAGCTTTAAAGCCTGCTCAGATTCAGTTTTACTAGGAACTTACTTAGCTTTCCCACTTTGTTAAAGTGCAGTAAACAAAACATGCTTATATCTGAAGTGCAGCTTAAACAATTTTACTCAGCTCCAATGGCGTTGGTTATTTCTTTAGCGCCATGGTCAGGGAAACGCTCTTTCTTTTTAAACGACGACGATATCGTAGTTTGCACCAGATTGCTTTTTCTAGTTGTGCCGGTTAACGTTCAAACTCGGGTGGTGTCGCTTTAGATGTGTTAGCATGTTAGACGTGTTTCCAAGTACATATCCTACCGCTGTTCTGCAGTGTCGGCACACTGCTTTTGTCTGTTTATTTCCATCTTCGTATTTTACCCTGAAACCAAAGTGTTCCCAAACGGAGGACTTAAGGTTTGCGGGTGGGTCTTCAGGTTCGTCAGGCTCACTTGCCATGTTGTCAAAATGCGAGAATGCGCTGCACAAAGTGAAAGCGTAGATTTACGGTTGGACTCGGTCCGTCACTCAATTATGTCCGTCGGGGAACTAGATATTTTAAATGGTTCGGTTTGCAAAAACGGAATTAAAATAAAACAAAATAAAATAATATCCTACGCCCAATAATTTGGTACAGGGTTGTGCCGAACCGAAAGTCGCGTACCGAACGGTTCGACACAAATACATGTACCGTTACGGCCCTACTGCAAATTGATGTTTTTTTCCCTTTTCCAACAAATGCAGGTGGTTACGTGTAGTCAACACATGCACATTGTTGGTTTTAGGAAAAAACAGGGTTTGGTTTTACAATCTTATGAGAAGCAAACACCTGGGTGGACGTCTGTGGTTGCTTAGTCTGAGTGGGCGGAAGTTCGCTGCATAGATCAGCCTCTCATTGGGCAGAACAAGCCACCCGCTGAAGTCCCGCCCTACCACCTCCGGTTGTGTAGCAGTTTTCAACCGTTTTCAGCACGTCCTTTACTAACTTTTGCGGTGTTTGACCTTGCAGGGATGTAGCCATTTTTCTGCCATGGTTCGCGTCCTGTAGGCGATATTTTTGTGGGCGTGTTACACCAAAATCTGTCTCCCCCCGACAATATTTTTGCAAGCGCACCGTTGCTGTGGCACCGCCCAGAACGATTGTGATTGGTTGAAAGAAATCCAATCTTAAAGTGAGAGTCGGCCCAGCCAGACCTTTCTTTTCTTGAGAAAGGTCTGGTGAGCGAGACTAGTGGTTGCTTGACCAATCCACCACCCCTTCTGCCCGTCCCACTCTGACTTTTCGCCCCCTTATCTTACGGTGTTGTCTCACCACGTTTCCCCCTGACACCGCTGGGTGCCGTTACACTATAACTGCGAGCAGCTGCGTATCATGCTGACGTGAAAGGACGGCTTTTTCGTCGATGTCTGATGCCGGAAGTTACTGACAAAGCAGCGCTATTCAACGACTTTGGAGTGAGACCAGGTTGGGTCATTACATGTGACAATGTTTGAGCAACTTTTTGCGAGGGAAGGTCAGGGGGCCACTGTCAGGTATCCATTCATGCATCTAGAGAGACACACATCTGTTAATGAGTTTGTTGTGTCTGAACATCATTCTGTGTGGCGTGTACACTACAACGTCCTCCACAATCTGCTCAAGGCTCAACTATTCCGCTTATTCATCCTCATAACATCATGTAATCAGCTCAGCCTCTCTGTCCCACTATAACCACTGGATTCCGTAGTTCTTCTAGTTTCATGTGATACCAGTAACTAGCTTCAAAACTCAACCTGCTACAGGCTCTGACAGATAGCAATGTCCTCCATGATCTCCGTCCCTCTTTAATCCTCGGGGGCTGTCAGTAGTGGACCGTGACTGTTAACCAACCTGTGCGGTGCAGACAGGAGAAAATATATATTTTTTATTTGGGGTATCATTTGATTAAAATCAGTAATACAAGTGTCATTATTTCAATTTCATTACATATTTATTACATTTTGGAACCCTGAGTCAAATACACTCATATTTTGGGACTGTCTGAGTCGGATGTGGAAGATAATCTGACACTACTTTCTTCTTCCTGTGTGGAAAGTACATATCATCAGATAATAATCACCATCCAGCCTGTTCAGGTCATTCCACTCGCACTGGCACAGCACCGGGGTGTTACCTTTCAGAGGATAGCAGTGCACATGTGTGTGCCTGCTCAGCTCAGAGCGGCTGTCACAGTTTTCATTTTTGCATATTTAATTGCTCACGCCGCCCCTCACCCAAATAACAACATATAAAAGCAACAGGAAAAATCAGAACGTGGCACTTTGTCAAGCATCTCTCCTGAGCGCTGTATCATTTTACATTTTCCCTTTCCTTTCTTTATTTCCCCCTTCTTCTTTTTTTTCCTCCGGAATGCTGTTTTAAAAGAGCTGGTTTCTGCTTTCGCCTCCATTTGTTCTCAGCAGGACTCAGTCAAACACTACCCAGAGCTGAGGTGACCCAATAGTGGCTGTGATATACTTCTGTCTTACTTTACCAAACATAGGGTGCTATCGTTGAACAGATCACTGGTAGCATTACATGATAAAACAATGCCATCCCTCTGTGGGCCAGCAAGCCCTCAGACAGTAGGAACAATAGCAGCTTTGTCAGGAGTCTCTGCAGCTCTGTGTGCTGTCTAAAAATATCTAAATGCTTCTTCCTCTCCTGCCTGATATGGCACCTCCATGCTGTCCCACCTACATCAAATATGTGGACATTTCCCCTGTCATGGGTTCATGCAAAAACATTTATGCAGCTCCATTAGGTTTGTGTGTTTGCAAAGTCCTGAAGGTTTCTTGGTAATGTAAGGTGAGACAGGGAGCTCCTTTCTCCAGGCCACATCAGAATAATACACTCTGCCAATGTCTTTCTATTGTGTTACAGGAGTACAGACCTGTTGGTATAATTCTCACGGTCTGTAAAAAAAAATCATGGAGAGGCAAAAGCAAGACAACCCCCAAAAAGTTTGGTCTTCTGCTAGTGTCCTTGTCACTACTGGGAGCATGAGGCGGTACCTGCAGCCCAATCAGGTTGCGCAGGTAGTCCAGCTCCTCCAGGATGACACATCCATAAGATTGTTTGCTGTGTCTCCCAGCACAGTCTCAAGAGCATGGAGGAGATACCAGGAGAGCAGCCATTACACGAGGAGAGCTGGACAGGGCCATAGAAGGGCATCAACCCAGCAGCAGCAGGACCGCTATCTGCTCCTTTGTGTGAGGAGGAACAGGAGGAGCACTGCCAGAGCCCTACAACATGACCTCCAGCAGGCTACTGGTGTGCATGTTTCTGACCACACTGTCAGAAACGGACTCCATGAGGGTGGCATGAGGGCCCCGCGTCCTCTAGTGGGACCTGTGCTCACAGCCCAGCACCGTGCAGTTTTACTGGCATTCATCAGAGAACACCAGAACTGGCAGGTCCGCCACTGGCGCCCTGTTCTCTTCACAGATGAGAGCAGGTTCACACTGAGCACATGTGACAGGCGTGTAAGACTCTGGAGACACTGTGGTAAATGTTAGGCTGCCTGTGACATCATCCAGCATGACTGGTTTGGCAGTTGGTCAGCGATGGTCTGGGGAGGCAGATCCTTGGAGGGTCACGCAGACCACCACGTCATAGCCAACAGTACCCTGACTGCTGTTAGTGTACCAGGATGAAATCCTCAGAGCGAATGTCAGATCTTACGCTGGTACAGAGGGCCCTGGGTTCCTCCTGGTGCAGAGGGCCCTGGGTTCCTCCTGGTACAGAGGGCCCTGGGTTCCTCCTGGTGCAGAGGGCCCTGGGTTCCTCCTGGTGCAGTGGGCCCTGGGTTCTTCCTGGTGCAGAGGGCCCTGGGTTCCTCCTGGTACAGAGGGCCCTGGGTTCCTCCTGGTACAGAGGGCCCTGGGTTCCTCCTGGTGCAGAGGG